TAGCGTAGGCATAGGATCGCGCCGAAGCTTCCTGCCGTTGGGCACGCGAAAAGCCTTGGGTGCAGAAGGGGCATTCCCAGGCATAGAGATCCTTCTTCCGGCCTTCACGGGTGACCTTGATGGTCTTGGGCCGAGGGATGAGTTTGGATGTAGGTCGTCCTAGGCCACCATGTGTGCGAAGGCAGTGGCTGGAGAAGATCTGCTTGTAATGAGCCGCATCCTTGGCCCGCTGCACAAAGGGACACAATGCGCAGCGAAAAATGCGGTCGACCGGCATGATGTACCGCTTTGCTTTGCAGCGCTTGGCTTTGGAGTGGTCTCCTCCTCACAGTGCTCCAGGTCTTGACTGAGCTCATCATCGTCACGGGCACGGTTCTTTTCCGAGGAGATCTTGGAAGGGACCTTGCTCTTGAATTTGGTGGCACACGAAGAGGCCGGCGACGAAGATGCCCCAGAGGACCCGACTCGATCTTGTAGTACTCCTCGGGGTACTTTTTTATCGTCCTCTTTCAAAGGCATGGCCAAATCAACATGTGCCCCTGAAAACCAGAGCACCAACAAAGACTTTTCCTTGGTGTTCCAGGCGGCCGGCATGAAATCCATGCCCTGGGGAATCACCACCACTCGAAAATGGGTGATATGAGCCAGGGCGCCAATCTCGAGCTCCCCAAGGTAAGTAGAATCTTTCTCCACCCAGGCCATGTACTCTTGGAACGTCTTGCAGGTTTGGCCTCCTTTGGGGTCAAGTCCATCCCAGCCTCGCTGGTAACGGTCATGCTTGAGCATATGAGTGACCATCTCCGCACGAAGCACCCTGGGGTGCTTCTCGATCTTTTTCCAAAGCTGGAGACCCTTGCAAAAGGCATGTAGGACACAATTGCCATCTCGGTCGCAATCAACTTTCCGAAGGTTGCTGGGGAAGGCCCGGACTTCCTGACGGAGATTCTTGGCACTCGACTCCTCCTTGCCTTTCTCATCGACAACGGATTTTGTGGAAACCGAGGCAGTCTCAGTCGCAACCTCAGGGGCGGCCACAAGCGGAACAACCGGGACCGCATGGGTGTAGATCGGCTTCTGCTTCGTGTGGGCAGCCCGCGGAGGTGCGATCGTAGTCCACAATGTCAGGTTGGCGCCAAGGTACTCGACGACAATAGGAACGACGTCACGATCACCAGTGCCGGCTTTGAGCTTGCCTCGAAACCGAACCATGGTAGCTCCCTTCTTCCAGCGATGGCTAAGGACAACCGGGTCGACGAAGGCGTGCTGCAGGAGCTCCTGAACGGCCCGGTGGTCGAGGTCCTTGGGGACTTCCTCGAGCTGCCAGATGCGACAGGCAGCTTCATCGGATCCTAAGGGTTTCCTCCAAGCAAGCCTATAGTGCCACTGACCGCCACCCCCAGGCCCGCAGCCAGCCGGCGGGCACGCTCGAGGTAGTCCATGTTTTTCTCCTGCGGCGCCTTGTCGAGCCACATCATCTCAAAGGCCCGCGAAGTGTCCCGGGGCATAGAAATGAACACACCACCTTGACCCGAGGCAGCTAGCAATTGGTCACAATCAGCTTTTGGGACGCGAGCCAGTCCGTGGTACTGCTCCGTGTCCGTGGTCGGCGAGTGCTCCTTGACCCACCTGTAGCAATTGAGAGCCTGCACGTGCCGTTGTGCGATCCAGGTCATTGCGGCCTTGGCTGGCCCGGACTCGAAGGCTTGCCAGGTGCCCTTGTCACAGAAACGCTTGGTCACCCGGATGAAGATGACCTCATTCTCGGTCTTGGCCACCTTGACCGCCTGAGTGTTAACACCCTTAGGCTGCACTCCACCGGACTTGCCTTGGCTGAGGCAATTGCGCACAATGCCGTGGCGAAAAGCAAGACGATCACCCACACGGCCGGGAACCTTCTGCGACCCTTCCTCGCCCGACAAGTAGATGGTCATCACCTGGGTAGGGCTTGGAGGTGCCTCGGAGGATGCTGTGGACGGCTTCAATCTCGGTCTTGGTGCCGAGGACGACCCCGACAATGTCCTCGCCCGGCTTGGTCTCCTCGACAATCTTCCCAAAGTTGGCATAGGAAAGAAGGGGCCCGCTCCAATCCTGGGCCCGCAGCTGGAAATCCCCTTTGAGGAGGGCGCCTGCTGACGGTAGTCCAGCCTTGGTCTGCAGAGTCTGACCTGCTAGCTCCATTACCCTTGCCCTTGTCACGGGGAGGGCGAGTCGGCGTCGAGTGGGCCTCAGAGCCGTTCTTTGAACCGCCTTTCGCATGAGGGCTCGGTTTGCCAGCAGGGGACGCAATGCCTTTGCCAGCAGACTTCGGAGCGTCCTGGCCTTTCTGGTGTTTGTGTGCCACCTCAGGGGCCTTGGGGTGCTTCTTGCACTTGCGGCTTCGGACAGGGTCAGGGTCATCAACCTCCTGCCGAAGCATCACAGTTCTAGGTGCAGCCGGGGCCGAGGGCAAAGCTTTAGCAACAATGGCGGTCCAATCGATGGAAGCCAGGGCAGCAGCGAGACCCTGCTGAATCATCGCCTGAATTTCGTTGCGCGTGTCGGCATCCATCGGGCCAGGGTTCTTCGCCTCTCCAATGCGGACCCCTATCCACGGGCTAAAGTTCTCCTGTAGACCACGGCCTGGGCCAGGGTGGCTGGCCTCGCCCACACGGCAGCCGCAGTAAGGACAGCGATCAATGGTGTGCCGTGGTTGGACATCTCCCCCACAGCATTGCACCGCTAAGTGAGCCAGCCAGCGGAGACTGTTGGCGAAGCAGAGGCTAGCAGGTCCATTGCCAGTGTTAGTCACGAGGCGGGTGTCCTGGATCGTCACATTGTGGTCCATGTTCGCCCCAGCAGCAAGAAGCCCAGGTGTCGGCGCGAAGGGGGAGTCCAGAATCGTGTCACCGAGGTCCAGGTCGGCATCCACAGCAGCAATCTCGAAAGAGGGGTCCTGAGGCATGGCATTCAGAATCACATTGTGGTCCCTGTTTGCCCCAGTAGCAAGGAGTCCAGACTCCGACGCGTGGAGGGAGTCCAGAATCGTGCCACCGAGGTCCAGGTTGGCATCCACAGCAGCAGCCTCGAAGAAGGAGTCCTCGACAGCCGCGTCCGGTGTCCATGTAGCAGCTGCAATCCTGTTTCCCCTCGTTGCCCCGACGGAGTGCTCCTCAGCGCCCACCTCAGGCACAAAGTCGGAAAAGGAAAACTGAGGTAGCTTGAAGTCCTCAAAGATCTCGGCCCAGTGCGGCAGCACAGCAGTCGAGAAAGCGCTTGTCCCATCTCTAGTGGCCCCATGAAGGCCACTCGCTTGCCAGTCGTGGCTCGCCCAAGGTGGAACCCGAGGCAGCGAAGCAGTTGCAAGACCGAATTGTCCAAACATGACCGTGGCATAGGCACCTCTAAGGAACCTCCGAGGCGAGCACCACTCGACCCGATCAGCCGAAATGGCCTTCCGAGCACCAAGCTCCAAGAAAGCCCTGCGAGATCCAGGCCTGATGTTTCCCGTCACATCTGGCCCATCCATTGTGTTTCGTGCTGACCTGTCGGAGCGGAGGGGAGTCCCCGCGCCGGCCATGTGTAAGGCGATGCGCATTGCATCCATTCGCTTTCGTAAATGTCTTGACCAACCACAACCCCCACTCGACGGAGCCATGGCGACTAGCAAGCGTTGTTAGCCCGCCTCTCGGGATCACCGAGGCGGTTTCCGGCCTCGAACTCGCGGAGTTCACGCTTGGGCCGAGGCTAGGGTTTGAGAATTGAAAGTTTACCTATAAGCCCGAAACCCTCCAAAATAGTAGGCCATGATACCCATGTTACAAGGAATAACTCCTACAACAACATGTCATCGGATCCTCACGTAGGGTTCAGGCCTCGCTCGACCTGCCGTTACACTGGGCGTTTGGAGGGTTTGGAGCGGTCTCAAGACGTGGCCCTGGAGTGGTTTTCCACCCGTGTTGGCTTCTACTGTTGTTTCACAAAAAAAACACTCAATTCGCGACGTGTGTGCGGGGATTCTTTTCAGCAAAAACGTTGCATCACACATGCTGTTAGTAAAAGACGAAGAGCAATGGTGACCATGTATCGAACGAATAGATGGCCCTAAGCTAAGAGCTCGACTCGCCAAAGCTACACTTTTCAGCACGGACTGAGGTGCCGGCCAGCGCCTACGCAACCCTCACCCGCTTAAACCCGAATTGGCAATCAAGGCCCCACCTCTGTAATTCTGGCAACGCGATCGCAGCACGGGCTGGCAACCAGGTAGCTGCCAGCCGACGTCCATGAGCTATACTAGGGTTTATAGGGTTAAGGGTTCAGGGTTTCGGGTGTTTTTCCCTCCGCGGGTTTGGAGTTTCGGGTTTATACGGCCAGTTTGGGGTGGTTTTTGTTACCGGGCCTTTTTCCCCTCAGCAACATCTGGGTCTTCGATGTCGGTCCTTCCAGCTCGGGTTCAGGTGGGAGTGCAAAAGACTGATGTTTCAGGTGGAAGCTTCCCTGAGGGTTACCCATAGGCCCCTAAGTAGTTCCTTTTTGGGATTGCCTTATAGGGCTCTAAACATAAACCACAAAAAAGGAACTACTTCCGGGCCTATGGGCACAGGGCACGTGGATTTGCGATTCCTGCTGGGGGTAGGGCTGAGGGTGTGGAGGCCCGGATGCTGCTTGCTGCTGGGACCGGCGACGATCTCGACAAATCTGTCATGGGTGTGAGTGTTCAGGGACCATGGCTACGCCCTCGAGAGCAAAGGAACCTGACATAAGCCAGGCGTCCTTGCAAATACTACACTGTTTTATTATATAATTTATAGTATATCAAACTACACTTGACTGGAGGTGCGGCTAGGAAGACGAGCATCGCAGGACTTCTTCCCCAAGCAGGCGCCATCGATCTTCCAAGTCTCGTCGAGCAGCTTGGAATGAAACAGGCTCAGGGTTTAGGGTTCCCGGAAAACCCAAAAAGCACACCCCTAAACCCTAAACCCTAAATGTCCTAACTCCTAACCGCCTTGGGCCCAATGCCCTCAGCCCCAAGCCCTGGCTGTGGCGAAGGCCCCCAAGCTCGGCTCGAGCTTGTCCAGCATCCTGAATTTAGGGTTTCGGGTTTAGGGTTTGAGGTTTAGGGTTTGGGGTTTAGGGTTCACTTCTTGCGAGTTCTGGAGAAATTGCTGCTACCAGAAACAGCGGCATCAACATCGCCACCGTGACCACTGCTCACCTTCGCCATCACCATCACCAGACGACCACCAGTATCATCATCATCATCATCATCATCACTATCATCATCATCATTATCATCATCATCATCATCCCCCTCGGCCTCCTCCTCCTCCCCCTCCTCCTCCTCCTCCTCCTCCTACTCCTCTTCCTACTCCTCCTCCTCATCGTCATCACCTTAAGGAATATCAATTTTTGCCATCGCAATGGCAAGGGTCTACGAGACGGCAGAAGGCTAAGTTTTTCGAGTTTGCTGCCCTTCTAGCCCTCTCGCTACATCTGCGCGCTCTGCACCTTAAACTTGACCTAACTCCACATGGGACGGCGGTGAAGCGACCGGAACACGCTCGCTCTTGCAACTGCCCCAGCCTGCAGGCCTGCCCGAATGACTAGTTCTGTTGCCCTGCGACTCTGTAGCCGAACAGCACCTTTGCGTCCCTCATTAGTTCCGCGTCGCGCATAGATGCACCTACAGATAAAGATTAAGCTGCAGCTCAGTCGCTGCAGGCCTGCCTGAGATGCCAACGAATTCTGACAGGCAGCAATGGCGCAGCTGAGCCTTTTTTCGTAGGGACTTTACTTCCTTAAATATGCCTTCATTTTATCAGGTCCTTTTTCGGGGTCTCAGTCCTTTTGAGATTTTGCTGGAGGGATGGATCCTGGAGGGCTTAGGCACCAAGGCGGTGGACAAACCAACCTGGGCGAGACTAACATAGGGATCGGAATAATTGCTAAAAGTGTTTCCTGAAAATTCCCTTATCAAGAACACTTGGTATGCCCAACAACCGTGTTCTAACTGTTGAGGTCTCTATATGAAGTGCTGCGCAGGCAACGGCACGGCCATTGAATTTGGGTCTCTGAACTCCACCTCCAGGATGAGTTCGACAGCTTGCTGCCACCGGTGTGCCCCAGCACTGGCCCGGATGGCTGAAGAATATGCGACAGCATCCAATGACAACGCATAGCTGTTTCCTTCCGCCAGGAAGAGAAGGGCATGCTGCCACTTCCCGCCTTTCTCAAGGCTGGAAATCACGGAACCCCAAAGGATTTCACTCGGGGGCAGCTCGTTCTCTTGGGATTCCTGGCACAGTGCCAGTGCCGTTCTCCACTTTGCCTGCTTTGCACAAGCGCTGATGGCAGCACTGTAAGTAAACGCATTTGGCTGAAGATGTCGGATGCGACCCAAGCTCAAGAACCAAGTAGCAAGTTCCCAGCGGCCGGCTTTATCGCAAGCACTTACTACGGAGCTGTACGTGATTACGTCAGCTTGCAGCCCCTTCTCCTCCATGTTACTCATAAGATGAAGAGCAGCTTCCCACTTCTCGCTCTTCTCACATGCAGTGATGGCCGAGTTGTACACGACGATCTCTGGAGCAAACTGTTCCATTTCGACTTCGCCTAGAAGTCTTAGGGCCTGCTGCCACTCGAACGCGCGCCCGCAGGCGCTCACGGCTGAACTGTACCTGACTTAAGAGGATTCGAAGGTTAACATATGGCCTTCTATTTTCATATTGTAGGGGTTATTATAGGACCATATCATAGGAAACAAAAAATATTGGGTTTATAGGGTCTAGAGGAATTGAATTACGGAGATTGCAGGGCTATATGAACTCATTATCCTACTCCGAAAAGTCGAAAGGCTGCAAGTCTATTACTAAGGTACATGATGGTGTCCGCCCGAAGGCGTCGAGGACCGGCTTGGCCCAACAAATCCAAGGCCAAGATCCACTGGCTGCCCTACTTGGAGGCTCATGGGTAGTTATATCTAGGTTATAAGGGGTAGTTATATCTAGGTTATAACTGGGGTGCAAATAAGTATAGCCCGTGTTAAGGGACTTGTAACTTATAACCCTACTAGTAACTACCCATGGGAACTTCAAGTAAGGCGTGTGATGCAGGTGGCCTACGGCGCCCACGGTTTCGGGGTTTAGGCTTCAAAGGTTTAGGGCTTTAGAGCCGAACTTCAGTTGCAAGCCTTGCATAAAAAAGTTCTGATGCCTTGGTTATGGAGTAAAATACCCTTGATACTATAATTTTGCATTACCTTAAGGACCCTAAACTATGGGAATTTATGGGAATTATGGTACAGTCCTTATTATGGGCAATGCAGGATTTATATCATCAACCGTAGGACGACCGGAAGTGATGGGAGGGCCTTCTCACAGGCACTGATGGCGGCACTCAGAATGATCACGTTCGCTTGCACCGTTGCCTCTGCTTCGCCCAGAAGCAGCAAAGCTTCGGGCCACCTGGGAGCTTCAGAAGCCACGGGACACACCAAAAAAAACAGGGCTTAAGGGTTCTGCGTGTAAGGACCACCCCCATATAGAACCCTGTAAATAGTACGAGTACGAATACAAAAAAATAGGCATCACAGCAATCACTTTCAAAAACTCCCCCACCTGGTGGCCTTTTCACAAGCGCTGATGGATGCTCCGTACGTCACCACATCCCGGATCAGAGAGGCATCCCCCAGCTTACCTAGGTTCTCCAGTAACCACTTAAGAATAACAACAATATTAACAATAATAAGAAGAAGAATATTGATAATACTAATTAATAATAATAATAAGGGAACCCTTTTTCCTACTAACTGAAATGTTAAGAAGGGAACCCAAATAGAAAAAGGGGCTACTGTTCAACCTACAGCTACTGAGCAGGGACAAGGCCGGCTCCCACTCTGCGGCTTTCTCACAGGCGCTGGTGGCGACGTTGTAGGTAATGAGGTCAGCCTGCTTAGCACCAAGCCGCCGGCCATGAGTCAACTTGCATGTGTGCATGTCAGAATGTATGCATGTTTGTATGTATGCATCTGTGGCTCTACCTACCTGCCTACCTACTTACCTACCTACCTACCTACCTACCGATCGATCGAACTGATTCTTTATCTACCTATCACCTATGTTTCTACCTGTGCATCTACCTACCTACCTACCTACCTACCTATCTATCTCTATCATGGCGTATCTATCTATCTATCTCTATCATGGTCAATCTATCTATCTATCTATCGATCTATCTAACCATCTATCTATCTCGCTAAAGTGTTTCTCTCAGGGAAACGTTATGTAGGGGCCTTCACGGTCAGAAACAGGTTTCGGGAATGTTGTACTGGCGATTTACTCGCTGCAGTTTCCCTGCGGAATCTTGGTGCATCAGCCATGCCGGCACCGGTTGTACCCAACTTTGCCGGGACGGGACGGTCTCCTGCACTCAAAATCACATCTCCCCATGCTCAGCCTGGAAACGGCCCCAAAACCCTAAACCCCAACAAACCCTAAACCTAATTGATAGATGCTACAGTAACTCAGTAAACTGTGATGCCCGAGTGCCTGCAGCATCAACTCCTCCAGTTCCCCCATGAGCACCAGAACCTCACGGTTTGAGGGTATGGGGTTTAGGGTTTAGGGGGCGCAGGGCTTACATTGCTGCAGGTTTGAGGGGTCTGCGAACGCTACTCGTCTGTTAAAGCATTCTTGTTGGTAATAGAGCTTGTCTAGAGTCTAGGTTGAGGTCAGCATACAGCAGGCCCAGCTGTTGAAAGGTTGTAGTTGTAAACACTGGCTTGCGAGGTCGCTATTATCCATAGCATTGGCTGTAGCTAATGCATCTTCGAGGGGCGCGCTGCCACTCTGCTGCATTCTCGCAGGCGCTCAGGACGGCGTTGACGGTGATCAGATCCTAACCGAAACAGAACGCAGTACTAATGATTCGAGCTGCGATGTAGCAAGGGTTCTGAAAACTTAGTGCTCCAGTTGCCTGGACAATGGATTTCAGATTTACGCATTACATGGTTAGTAATCTACTGTTTAGGTACCTGGAGCCCTGGCGAATTCTGAGGAACTTGATCTTGCCGTAAACCCTAAACCCTAGCACGAGTACTCCAAGTCTGTAGGATTGAAACTTTATTTGACTCGAGTCTTCGGCCCCCTTCCTCGTAGCCCTCTCTCTCTCTCTCCCTCTCTTTCTCTGTGTCTGTCTGTCTGTCTCTCTCTCTCTCTCTCTCTCGCTAAAACCACAATAACTAGATTCGGGGTTTTAAGTTTTGTTATGCTATAGTTATGTAGTGACTGTAATAGGGATATTACTACTCATTGTTCTGATCGCTATACGACATCATCACTGCCGGGAGCTTTCTTCTCAATCAGTCTCTATGGGCACATAGGCCCTAAACCCCAAAACGTCATGCCGCAACTCCTTGCGGCCCAAAAATGTATAGGCACCTTTGACCCCTTCAAAATCTGACGTCCTCTTACACTTGTCCTCAAAAGTTTTATGACCAGAAGCGCAAAACAATATTTTAAAGGAAACTCCAGGAATCAAGCTCCAAGGAGTCTGCGCAACAGTCTGCCAGCAGCTCTAGCGCCTGGGGCCACTGCGAGGACTTCTCGCAGGCGCTGATGGCTGAGCTGTACGAGATTAGATCCTCCGATACGCGCTTCCTGGGTTGTCGTCAAGGTATTCTAACCATCAAATTGAAGCTACGATGACTATGAGCTGTTTCAGGAAACTTTGATCTTTACTCTTCTCCCGTCTTAGGGAGACTTAATTAAAGCTCCTGAACAGAAGGCCAGCTTCCCACGCATCGTCCGAAGGATGAACAGTGCTTGCCTCCAGCTGCGTGCTTTCTCGCAAGAGCTGATTGCAGAGTTGCAGGTGATGACGTTCGGCAAGAGCTGAAAAGTTTCGAGCCTCGGCTGCCCAGGAAGCCCTCAAATACATTACAACCATGAATGTAGCAATAATTAATATTGCCATAAGTGTTTGTACTGTCTTGATATTTTGAAATTGGACAATTGTTCTTACAGTTACTAGGATGGCATGGCTACCCTTGCTCAAACAGCATACCCAACAACAAAACGGGGTCGTAGGGTGTAGGCTACTGCAGGACCGGAAGTGCAACCCTGCACTACCTTCTAACCCAACACCCCAAAACCTAAACCTTAAAGCCATCTAATACGTAACCCTAGAAACCCGAAGCCCCAAACCCTAAAGCATAAAACCTCACCCTATAAACCTCAAACCCCAAATCCAAAACTCAAACATCAAACCCCAAACCCTAAACCGAAAACTCACACCCCAAACCCCAAACCGGGAGGCTTTTCAAGTAGGTGCAAAGCCCAATCCCATCTCGCGGCCTTTTCGCACACGCTAATGGCTGCTCCGAACCTGCAGGCTGTAGGTTTTAGGGGTTTAGGGGTTCAGGGGTTTAGGGGTTCAGGGGTTCAGGGGATTAGGGGTTTAGGGG